ACACGGCCGTCCGAGGGCTGCGGCAGTCTGGGCGGATAGGGCAAAACCTTCGACCCGGCGGGACCTTGGCTGGCTCCTGTGGAAAGAAACCAGACAAGAGAACGAGCAGCAGAGAGCTGTAGAGGAGGGCGAGAGACACTAACAGACAAGAGAGAGAGAGCAACCTCGGTCTGACGGAGAGGGAGTAGGAGTGCAGTGAGTCGGAGCTGCCACTGGGGTCAGAGAGCAGGAGCGAGCACAACCCCACGACACCTCACGTGCGCGCGCCCTCACAGGCGGGCACACGCGCGGTGAAGTGTGAGAGGAAGGGGGAGAGGAGGAGGAGTCCTGCGCTACCTCCGTGCCGCATTCACTTGCTGTGGGAAAGGTCCCTTTCCTTGTGAGAAGCACCTAACACACACCTTCACCAACATACAGGCACCGCATCTGTATAAAACATAAAGGGCATAATCCAAGCAGCAGAAACACATGAGATGCAGACAAGAAACGTCAAAATTCAATGTAAATGTTTAGACTAAACATGCTTGTATATATTTATGCTTTATATAATTATGCATTTACAGACAGATGACTAAATAATGGAAAAGACTGAATAAATGAGTGGTCTCTTCCATTATGACAGTGCCCGATCCATAGGGTACGGGGTCACTGAATGGTTTGATGAGTATGAAAATGATGTGAATCATATGCTGTGGCCTTCACAGTAACCAGGTCTCTACCCAGTTGAACACATATGGGAGGTTTTGGACCAGCATGTTTGACAGTGTCTCCACCAGCATCATCAAAATACCAAATGAGGGAATATCTGTTATGTGGTGACTCAGACCTGCCTGAAAAATATTGTTTTCTTTTAAAGTAACATTATAAAGGGTCCCCAAGTCGTAATGAATTATTTTTTCAGTGGTTAAAAAGCCCTGTGCTAATGCTTACATATTAATAATTAACTACTATATCAATGCATTGGTTAGCTGGTTGTGAGAAAAACATTTGCCAGTGTTAAGCCTCATCCTGCTTGACTTCCCTTGTATTTTTAGCTCATTCCTTTATTAAAAAGACTTCTTCAATGAAACAATTTGACCATATACTTTAGTTCACATACTTCACAGTTTACTGTAAATAGCCTCTGTGACTAATTAGGATTCACAAGATCACTTACTAACATGCTGGAGGTGGATAAACATCAGCCTAGAGGATTTTCAAAATGTGGCAACCTTACTTATTATTGACTTATTACTGATATACAATATTAGTAAGTAGTTTATTATCTATTGATAAAGGCATATAGTTACAACTTATAAACTCTTTATAAGTGCCTCATTAGAAAATGGTACCAAATCATTTGAAACATGTTCTGCTTGCCTAATTTGCACTATTTACTCAAAAATAATGTGCATGCATGACATTTGAGTTGTCAAATAACCCCAAGAAGGTTCTTAAGCAACCAACAGAAACATCCACCCACACTGCTAAATGGACTGTTACCCTCCATCTTTGTGTGCCTTCTGTTGGCCTACTGTGGAAGGTTTACTTCAGGCTGGTTTGTAAACCAGTAGACATGCTTGGTGATAATAGAACATAGCAGAGACGTTTTGACGTACAATATGCAGATTGGCCATTAGATGATTGCAGCACCTGAGTGCTACAATTCTTCTTTATTTTATTTATGCATCATGTTCCCACAATGAAACACTGTTCAGTACAAATGCTGACTAAAATGTTTCCTCATGAGACCACCAATGTGTGGGAAAATGGTGCTCGAGTATAGAAGGTGTTGTAAATTCCATGATTAGAAGACAGCATGCACCCCTTGGGGGTCACAAGTAAACAATACTAATGAGTACCTGTGGGAGCCCTTCATACAACCTGAAATGGGGCAGCACAGTTTCCAAACAGGGAAAAACCCTGCAACTTGGTTGACTAGATATGGTAACAGACTCCCAGTTGTAGGGTTTAACTCACTTATTATCAGTTCACTAGATTATATATGAAGTATGGGAGAAAGCTGATCTTCATTTTATCTCACCAGTGTTGAAATGCATCGCATTTGCTCAAAGAGCCTTTATCCCAAATGTACATGCTTGAACTTATATATGTTTCTTTTATTTCACGGTGTGCAGTCCTATCATTTATCACTTTGGGAATAAAAGAGGTTTATTTCAAACCTAGGTCGTCTGAATGTAACGCAGTATTTAGATTAGGACCTGAATGCAGACAATGTTGTGGTGAAGAATTAATGAGACTTTAATGGTGATAAGCTTAATATGAAAAACAAGCAGCATTGGCAGGTAAAACAACTAGAATAGGTAGGTATACTGCAAGAAAGCAAAATTACCACAGAGCTAAACCCTGAAATAAATAAATATCAGAATCTCTTTATTTGTCATTGTACATGTGTCATGTGTATATATCTTGTCCATGAATGTCTTGTTCCAGTAGCCCACTTCTCATCAGGTTGCCCTGGTTCCTCTACACCTGACGCAGACCTTGTTGACCCGGGTGGGCGACGTCCGAGCTGGTGTGACTCTTATTTTTCCAACTCTCATTACCCATGAGGTAGGCAGATAGCATTAAGGGCCTATAAATAGTAATGGATGTTTGTTATAGATATTCACAGTTCCTGATGAATCCTACTGACCTTTGTGAATCACTGACTTTGCCAGAAGCAGATTAAAGTTTTTGATTATCAAATTAAATATCTCAATACCTAAAAGTTGAACTGCCACAAATTTTAGTTCAGACATTCCCAAATCCTAATGATGTTGGTGATTCCTGCCTTTCCTTCCATTTGGTTCACATGTATGACCCATTGTATGGTAATCCACACAATATGGCTCTTGGATGCATCACATACTGTACAATTTGGTGTAGACGTTTATGGTTTTTGTATACTTTTGTGATAGCACCATGGTCAAAGTGTGTCCGGTACTTTGATTTATTTATTGACTGTTAACATTGCATTTCACTGTCACACAGTCACTAGAGTGCCTGTTCTTTGTCTTGTTCCATCTGTGGTGTCATCTCCAAACTATTTCCTCACATTACTTCTCACTGTATGTGTCATTATCTGTTCAGCATGGTTCATTGTTTACTCAACTTTGCAATAAGGAAGAGCTCGACAATAGCACTATAGAGTAGTGCTTGTATATTGTGAGTCTGGTGTTTATGTTCAGAGTTCAGTGTTCACTGTTCATTCTGCCTCTCTTCCCTGAGGATCCTTGCCTTTTTTTCAAGAGCATAGAAATGTGAATGATAATTGCACAAAACAGTTTGTAGCTGGCAACCAATCAGCTCAAATCACATAAGCATGCCAGGCATATGTCCCAGTACCACCGTTATAACACTTTACATCTATAGCACATTCACACACCTGTACTTCACATATGTACAGCTTTGAATTAGCGTTGTACAAAATGAGGGGGCTAAAATTGCTTTTGTCACCAGCTAAATACAGTGCACACTATTGTTTATAACTGTATAGCTATCATGTATGGTCCCTAGCTCCCCTTTTTTATTAATTCTCTGTAATTAAACTTTTTGTTATTAAGCCAGGTATTGCTGTAGTTTACCTGACTGTCCTTCAGTTTTAGTCTCAGTAAGATATTGTCTTCAGTACTATCAACACTGTAAGCAGAGTAGTGAAAAAAAGAACACTCAAAATTGACCCTAAGAATGAGGGCAGAGGTGGGTACCCCCCCAAAATTAGAATGTACTGCTGTAAGTGACATTAGAAAAGAGTATATCTGAGCAACAGTTGGTCTTTGCATCAGTAGATTAACTTTATTGGACTGATTTCAGGAACCATTCATAGATAACTCACTGGAGGCATCAGCTTAATCGTAGGATAAGGTCCCTACAGACAAATAATGGGTAGTGATCTAATGATTCTTCCATGGCATTAGTGTGATGTTAGACTACAAGCTGTTAGGAGGAAATGCCACACTCCTTGTCATTAGGTGTCCTTCAGGTGCTCCTTGTCCAATATTTTCTTATATTAGGACCCTTCATCAGGAATTACCATTTCTCATAAGATCACAGCTGTTCATACATGCAGTGCATTTTAGTCCACTCTGCTGTAATCCTTTAATCATGCAAAACTCTTTTTTACTAAATAATACTAAATATTACTGCATTTGGGTGTTTTATGACCTTCAATGACCATGTTACATTAGTTTTTAATGCACAAAAGAGGGTCTTACATACGAGAGTGTTCAGAACATTCTCAGTGAAGAACAAAGACATAAAACACATACAAAATATGTGTTTAAATAATTGATTTGAGGTTCACAGCAATAAACTGCATGCTATATAAAGTATGATAAAACTCATAATTATTAATTAAGAAAACACAATTGCATATCGAAAAAAATCTAACTTTTCTTTGCAGTTTTCTTTTCTGAAAGAAGAAGTACAATACAGAATTGGTGCCCATCACTGAGTTCAACAGTGATTCAACTCAGTTAAGAAAAAAAAGAATTAATTTGTCAGTGCCAAGGCTATACCTTTTAATACACTGATGGGATTTTTGATGAGAAAAGGCTGCGTGGGATGATCCATAATAGACTCCTCTGAGGGGCTCTGCTACATCTACATGTCTGCCAGTTGAGGCAGAGCTGGCTTTTTCTAATTTTACTGACATGCTTCAATTTCCCAGGCCCATCAGCACGCTCCCCACTGCCACAACAGCCCCATGAGTCATTTCCATTTGACTTTTCTCTTATCTGCACACAAAAAGCATTTCCAACTAGCCGGTGGATGTTAATGTGAAAGCAGGGTTTAAATTTTATGTGGAGAGGCCACATTTAAACATTTGACCAACGTTTGTTCTCCTGGCTGCATATAGAAAACTGATGATAGATAGGGCACCAAATGTCACAGAAGAAATGGCTTTTGCCATTAATGTTTT